CCCCCCCACCACACACACCCAGTCGGGCTCCCTGTCCCCCGCCCTCTTCCCTGGTATTTCGCTGTTCCTCCTGCAGGCAGGCGTTCTAGACGTAGTTAAATGTGGCCTCGAGGACGAACCGATCGTCCTGGCGTTTGCTCCTTCAGCGGAAGTGATAGGGTGAGGGGAAATTAAACATGAGGTTTCTTTTGGCGGGCGGGCGGGAGGGTTTTGAGCGCGCGACTCTAGTGGCCCTGACTGAAGCCAAGGACAGCAAGCAGCCTCTTACCCGGGAGGGACGAGGTGTTGGGGATGCGCTGGGGAAACGCCCTCCGGGGCTGGGCTCTCCGGGAAGGTAGGTCGAGCTGCGTGTTTCAGGTGGGTGTCGCAGCACCCTACCGGCTGGCAGAGCCCCCTCGCTGTTTTTCCTCCCCTCATTTTTGCCGGGATAATGAAGTTAGCTACCATACCAAACATGACCCTAAACCGAAAGAAGAGTAAGGTTTGTTTTGCAAAAAGTAAACTGCCTTTCTCTGGCTGTTAAAGCCCAGGCAGTTTATATCTTCCAATGCTGTTGTCTCTGAGACTTTTAAAAAAGCAACATAGACTCTGATGTCTGCCTAGATACTTACTAACTTTCATGGCAGTGTCTGGCAGGAGCTGCCCTGGAAGCCAGCTTTGACCTTTGGAGTACATCGCATGATGTTTTCCAAGCTGACTGTATACTGACTGCCTAATTGGGTCTAAGTAGCTCGATATTAACTCCAGTGTATGCAGGCTAATCTGGGATTCGTAGGCAGAAAATTGAGATCTCCTTGTAGTTGTGATCAGTTGAATTTTGTTACTGGTGCTGTTGATGATGGCAGTTTGATTCTGGAGGATCCATGATGAAATTAAGCTGGGCTTTGGAACCGCAGAGACCTGGGTTTGAATCCCCTGTCATTGAGGTTGGAGGAGCAGTTACCCACCTTTCTGAAGCTTGATTTCTTGTAAAATGGGAATTGTAATCCTGTTTAATCACTAAGTGGCAAAATTGGTTTGATCCAGCCCTCAGTAGGTGCTCAGTATATGATAATGTTATTCTCAGAAAGATATTGGGGTGCAGTGAGGCATAACTTGGGTTTCTTCTTAGTTTAGAATAAGAACAATAATAATAGCTTATGTTTATATACCCCCCCCTGCTGGGTCTGACACATTGCTAAGTGGATTAGAGGTAGCAATTAATCTATCCCCACAACAGCACTATGAGATACATACTTTGTTATCTTTATGTTATGCTTAAGGAAATTGAAGCAGAGAGCAGTTATCATGTGACTAATAAGTGTCAGAATCAGGATTCAAAGTCAGCTAGTCAGTACTCAGCCTCAACCTTCTATAGCCTCCCTTGAAGCACCGTTTTTTTACTTTTGTGTGTGTGTGTGGTGGGGGGGGTGGTAAGGCACTATGGGGAAGAGCTTTTTCTTCTCCACCTTTGGAATGGTGCCACCTTATGAAGAGTGAGTTTCTTGTTACTGAGGTATTGAAATGAAGACCATGTAGTCTCCTGGTTCTAGATGCTGGGTATGAGGGGGTGTTCAACCATAGGCGAAGCCATTGGTTTAGCACATCACATTTACTTAGGCTCAAATGAATCTGGTATTTTAGGTGTCAGGGGACACATTTTAGGTAACAAGATAAGTAGGAGCCACTCTTAGGCAGTGGCTTTTATGGGATCTTGCATGTAATGTATGAACAGAATTGGTATGTCCTTAGTATCTGGGACAGTATACTAATAGCACCTCATGGATCATCTCATTTAATACTCCCAACAACTCCTTAAGGGTAGGACAAGCAGTGCAGCATCATCTGGCTGTCAGGATGAATCATCTAGGGTTTGGAAAGGTTAAATTGTGGCAGACAGCAGAGCTTGGTTCTCCACTGTAAAACCAGAGATTAGGTGGACAACAACTTTGAGGGTTGTGTAGTCCTTTGGGACCCAAACATTGTCTATTACCAGAATCATTTGGAGAGCAAATGCAGATTTCCCCAAACTCTACCCCTGGATGTAGGTTTACCATGGGGTCACCAAACCACAGCTGAGCTGCCTGGTTTAATAACTGCCATGAGCTAAGAATAATTTGTACATGTAAACATTGTAATCAGTTTTATGATAAGGAGCACTGACTTTGAGTCCCAGTTAACCAAAATGTTATCTACCCTCCCAGTTGTACCTGTCTCATTAGCAGAACTGTGCCCTCCCCCCCAAAAAATTGTATCTAATATATTTTGAATTTTATCAATAAAGGAATTGTGGAAATTTGTTTTCACTCTTGTTATAAAAGTGCCTGTGTATAGTCTTTTTAATTTTGCTTCCTGATTAAGTTTGTTATCTAGCCCTTTGCAGAAATCTGGCTTAATAGATTGAGGGGGTGACCCCAGGGATCTGGTGCTTGTTTCTTTAAACATATGGAATGTCATATGTGGATCTTTCCAATACCTTTTGTATGTGCCCTGAGTTAGTTTGAGCTTAGTTCTTGATCCAAGACCTCCGTAGGATGAGAAGTTGTCCAAGTACCACTCTTTGTCAAGATTCCCAGAGACAGGTGGAAGGAACTTTGCACTGCAAAGATTCGAGGTTTGAGGCCCAGTGGCTGGCATCAGACTCAGGTCAGAGATTGCTGAAAACCACAAGTCATCTTGGGATCCTAGCTTGGGTTTCAGAGCCCTTATTTTTCCCACCAGCCTCTTGTGCCTGAGGTACTGAGAAGGAATGGATAGAAGATGGCCAGGCTGAGGGGAGGTGGAAGTAAATTCAAGGGGACACATCCTCATTCCAGTAAGGGCATCCTGTACTTTGGCAAAACACAGACCCAGTTTCCTCTCTTGTGCTGCTGCTGCACCACCAGCCTCTCAAGGTAATTTTCTTCTAGTCTTGGGGCTGTTGATTTTTTTTCTGGAAATTGCGCACAACACTCATGAGATGTCTGCTTGCTATTCTGTCCTCTCTGTCTTGGTGTAGTCATTTCAGAAAAGAACCAAGAGCTATTGCTCAGTGGAGATTGGGCCTTGGTTGAATGAACTTGGTACTACTTTGGCCTGACTTCGTTTAAGAGGCAGCTCCTCACTTTGGTGTGCAGAAGGGGCACTATTAGAGACTTTTGCTACTACATCTCCATTGTGGCCTGCTGACCCCTGCAGGACTAGCTAGCGTTCTGATCTTGGGGACCTATGTTCCACCAGTACCTAGCACACAGCAACATTGCCTCCCTTTCACAGGCAGGTAGAGAAATGTGGAGCTGACTCAGAATCTTATGTTACATTGGAATGTAACTATTTGGCAAATACTAAATGCCCAACAATGATGTTTTCATTAAAGAGTCTGGCAGGGATGGAGATTTGTGAAGGCGTCTGTTATTCAATTTAATAAAATTGGTTGAAGCTAGATGAGCAAAGCACCCATGGCCCTGAGCCACCTTCCAAGACATGATAGTAGCCTTCTTGTATAGAAGCAGTTGTCCTGATGGTATTGGTAATTCAAAGTCCTAAATAAGGTAAAAATGTCTTTTTTCCTGACTCTAATCCCTGCTTTGTACCGTGCCCTGCAATCCATGTGTTTTTCCCCAAATTGATTTTATTTTAGCTTCATGACTGCCCCCTGCTTTTTCCTATCATTTCCTTTACCAAAACTTGCTCCAGGGAGCAGATCTAAAAGATCAGCTTACTCTACTATTACTCTGATGTGGATTAAAGTCCAGGCTGTGTTTCCCAGAGGTATTTACTTTTGGAGATTCCGGTTTGGTGAGGAAATTACCAGAGAACTATTAAAGACTTGAGTGCTGTTTTCAGCTTTGCTATTAACTAAGTTGGACAAGTTCTTCAACCTCTTGTTTTCTCCACATCTAAAGTGGGGGTGTTGAATTAGATCAGTAGCATCCAAATCTTGATCCTAATAATAACATATGTTTAGCACTAACATGCATATACAGCATTAAAAAGAAAATGTGCTGGTTTGGTGCATAAATTGATTATTTCATACCCTGTTACTGTTGAAAGATATTTAAAAGATGGATATTAAGGTATTCTTAGATATTGTTGATTTAGTTTGGGGAAGAGAGTGTTTTTTTATAGCAGTCTTGTGAAATCTCCCTTACTTTAAACCAGCCCATCTCTTGGTCCCCTCTTCTCCTTACTTCTAGCTCTTTCCCACCCCAAATAGTCACAGAATAAGGAATCATTGTAGCTTCCTACAACAGACAGATGCCTTCCAATATTCTTGGTTGTGCTAGTGGCCCTCAGCCAACCATATCCCCCCACACCCTCCTGTATGTTCATCCCCTCTTGTCCCCCATTCTTAAGTGTGTCCTTCACTATGGAGGTTTCTTGAGGGCCCCCCACACTTTGTAGCACCAAGTCAGAGGATTGTAGCGGGGATATTGCCTAGGTGTACATCCTGTCTCCCCC